ACGCTGTGTTTATGTAGAAAAAGCGATTAGGTTTATGAGCAATCTAATTACCTATTCGCTTAAAACGCTATATAAAATAAAGTTTATTTAGAGTTTATTTTGTAACGCATAGGTGACTATTCATTGTTATTAAAAAGACTTAAATTTGATCATGTTGTGATATTTAGAAATATAAATTTCGCGGTAGACTGCGTACAGCGTACCGGAAAATAATGCGGTATCGCCCGCGCTTTTTGAATGGCTGCATCTGTAAGTAATATTACCCTGGGTATTGAAATATGGTTATTTTTTACTTTTCTCACCCCACCAGAACACAGAACAAGTAATGCTTCAGATATAAGCTTCCTAGTTACTTAAATTATTTGTTTATTACTACTGAAGAATCTGTGAATATGCAGTTTAATATTCAACATAAGTGTAAGAAATTCATAGTGACGCCAACTTGATCAACCCATCTCAATGTCCATTGCATCTACAGTACGTCTTTGTCTGTTGGACTAATGAGAGGACTTGGAATACTGAGATAACATTGAGTCAGAATGTTATGATTATTCCTGTTTCCCCTATTTAATGAAGAAGTATTATTATGATATTAAAGCTATTCAGCACAAGAAACCTCTGAAAATGTCAGAAGGGAGAATAATACTATAACAAAACCCAAGAAATGAAAACTTCTTCCTATCCAGAGCTTATCCTGCCTTCCACTATTTGTGTGCTACTGTAGGTTAAGCTTATATTCACTGATATTGGACTAAGCAGCTATTGAAAATAAAGGTAATAATAATAAAAATTAATTCACCAATATGTCTACAAAATAATATATAATTTACCAATGGTCTCTGGTGTTTTTTTTTCTTTTGTGCTACATCCATAGTTTTTGTAATGTTTTTATCTTTCTTGTTGCAATTTGAATTAATGCCACACACACAACACACGATGTGTACCATACATTTATGTGTTTCACAAAGTTAAATAGCAAAAACTGAAAATATGTGCATAGAGCTTTAGTGGCATCATGCATTGGGAAAATAAATTAACTTTGAAAATGTGATTCTATAGTAAAAGGAAATTACTTCTAATTATCACAGATTTTGAAACTTTGTACTTCCTCCTAAATTGCACCTGTATTTTGTTTCATTCAGTTTATTTTAATATTGTCTGAACTGATGCTATCATGCTAAAAAATGTGCATTATTTTGCTGGAATACTCCCTCTCATGTGTCTTTCTGATCCCCACAAATTAAAAAGAATAGTAACCCAACTCCACATTATAGTATTAAAGCACCTTGTACATACAATAAATGCGGTTAGAGCCTGTGTTGTTTAACTTCTTCTTATTACTTTATCCATCAACACAGGTGAGCAGATTCCTCGAGGTAACAAACGAGACAAGTATTGAAGTATTGTAAAGGAAAAGGGTTTCTTAAAGGCATGGCATATGTGTAAACTTTCAATACATGTGCACAGCAGCTATTGCCTATTACAGCTCTTGTCTGAAATAGTCAAGTCCATTTCTGGGGAGGAATGAAGCTCAATACATCCTTCAGCCTGAAGCAGAGATCACTGAGCTGTTTAAGATTTCTTTCCTTACCCAAGCATGAACGGTGGCATGATTTGTAATTCATAATAATTAATAATAGCAACATGAGATGGCAGAGTTTCCCTTCAGATCTTGCAGTCACACAGCTATAGATGACAAATGACAGTGAACAAATCTCTCAGCTTTGACTGATAGATCAGTTTCTGCATTTTGATCAATAGCTATTCAGATAAACAAACCAAGCCACAGCAGATGTGTAGGCATAGAGGATAAAAAAATACCTGTTAAATATTTCATACAGTACATTATGGCTCAGAATTGCTTATAGGTGAGATAATTAAAAAATCCAGCTTTAAACCTAGTGATGTAGGTACAGTATATCTCTATGGAGACATCTGGCTGTATGTATAAATGAGGCAGATTTTAAAAGCATGTATTATACTGTAGTTATTTTCTAACAGGCTACCTGTAGCATTCCTATACATGCATGGTTACCTGCAATTTCAGATCACAAGCTTTGACTTTGCAACACAATAGATGTAATCGTGCAGCTAAGTTCCAGTGGTGAACGAAAGAGACTCCCTGTGCAGAGACATACAGGCAGAGTAGCCGAGGAATTCTCTGAGCATGTTCGGCAGTGGGATGGACCCTGACTACTAAGAAGAGAGAGAGAGGGAGAGTGAGCAAGCAAAAGAGAGAGAGAGAGAGTGAAGAGGCAGACAGCAGAATCTATACTGTCAAAAGATCCGTAGAAACCTTGCAGGTTCTTCAGGATTTGGTAGCCAGGCAGTACGAGCAGCTGAAAGGAAAACTGGGGGCAATCTTCAAACGTATTTGGGGAATCTGAAAGAAAAAGGGAGCAAGCCTGTGGAAGCTACAACTGTCAAGCACAGAGGTGGGTCAGAGAGAAGTCTACAACCCCTGCTTTTTGACTGCGAAGAGAGAAAGGCAAAAGCAAAAGAAAGGGAGCAATACAGCTCTTTATCTCCCCCATTCATAGATACATTGCATTCCATTGCCGTGGTAATGCAGAAGCGATCTTTCCGATTGGTTGAAAAAGGGTCCCATTGAGAGCTGAGACTTAACCCCCCTCTCCACACACCGCCTTTCCATACAACTCCCATCTTCCTCTTCATGCTATTCTCTGTGTTTGTTCTTTTCATTCCTCTGTCACGCTCCTCAGTATTCAGCAGAGGGCTTTTGTAAAAGTGGTTGTCCAGGAGCTGTCAGTGTATTTGGCATCCGTACAAAAGAAAAAAAAAGGGGAAAGAAAGGGGAGCTGAAAGACACAAGGACTGCTACTTAAAGGACCTGCAATTGTGAAACAGCTGACTTCTACAGAAATAAAAAAATTGAGGAAAAAAGGCTAAGAAAAAAGGAAAGCCCAAAAATTTTTTTAAACGCGCTGAGGAAAAAAAAAGAAAGCTTTGCTAAGTCAGAGTTCTAAAAAGATATTTTTGTATTTGTAACATTCTTACAAAAGTTACTACTGCGGCAAGGATCTGCTATGACAATGAAGGGTGATTCAGAGGAAAGCATCGAGACCATCCAACCATCCAACTTCCAAGCGTTTGCCAACAGCTCCACCTTGCATGGCATGAGCCATATCTTTGCCTATGGCCCCATGACCTTCCGCCGATTTCTTTGGACGCTCTCCTTCCTTGGATCTCTGTGCTTGCTACTGCTGGTCTGCATGGAAAGGATCACCTATTATTTTACCTACCCACATGTCACCAAACTTGACGAGATTGCGGCACCCAACCTCACCTTCCCCTCTGTCACCCTTTGCAACCTCAACGAGTTCCGCTTCTCTAAGATCACTCGCAATGATCTGTACCATGTGGGCGAGCTGCTGGCGCTGCTCAAAGATAACCATGAGATTGCCAATCCCCACCTGGCTGAACCTGATGTGCTGGCTGCACTCAAGGAAAAAGGCAACTTCCACAACTTTAAACCCAAGCCCTTCAACATGACTGACTTCTACAACCGCACAGGTCATGACATAGCAGAGATGCTCCTGCAGTGTACCTTCCGTGGAGAGGAATGCTTCTCCAACAACTTCACCACTGTGAGTCTCCTAGGTTTCTTGTTCCTCTATTCCAGCATTTTCTTTCTGGCTTTCCCTGTTGTGGCTCTTTACAATGTTTGTGTTCTTCTGTTTTGCTCTGAAAAGGTGGTGCTTAAGTGAATGGTGTTTTTGCTTGTTGTTCTGAAGGTGGGTGGATTGAGTGTAGTAGAGAGAGGCATTAGCAGTTTGAAGCAGGAATTGGAGGTATCTCAGTTACAGTTAAACTATTTTCTGGTGTTCCAGTGGCACTTGTGACAGCTATTATTGTTGCTCTCATTTTGTGAATTGTTCCAGGGCCTTGTTGACACTTTCAAATTCTTTGTTGAATATTAGTTTTGCACAGCTACAGAAGTTTCATTATACTTGTGATCATAAGGTTTTCCTAATTTGTGTTTCTTTATTGTGAATGCAATAAGAACCAATAACAAAGTGATAATTATTTTTTTTCTTTTTGATCTTTTAGATTTAAATATGATAATACCTTTTTCTATTTTGCAGGAACATATGTCTATGTTTACAGGTAAAAATAAATATATATACAGTATAACTGGATAAATTCCTATGTAAATATACTACAACTGCCCTACATTCAAATCTGTATTTACAGTATGTTTATTAAGACAGTTATTGTACTCTAGCATTCACACTTACTTTTTTAATACTTTTTCATACTTAAAAGAACATTTTATTGATGAGAGATCTGCCCAATTAATTATAGGAGTGAATTGACAGAGAAGCAAACTTTTAGCATTAGGAGATTATTAGGATTGGTAATAGAACAGTCAGGGTCCAAGGTTTATTACTTGTCCAAACAAGACAGTAGCTGGATATCCCATTACCCACCCAAAACTGGGTGGATCTGGTGTCTCTTTAAATGAAACCTGCTGTTGTTATGGTACTACTGTATATTCATATCTATTTTCCCTATTGTTATGAAATTGTCTGTCTTTTCCTTTTACCAGAGGACACATTGAGTGACATTACACTGACCGTACTGTATTAACAACTAAGTTAGAGAGAAATTGAGACAAAGGTACTCATGTGCTGTTATGAGGGCCTTTTCATTGTTAATTGGTGGGGTTTGCATTGATTGTTTTGTTGCCTTTTTCAATTATTTTATGAGACAGTAACATCTTGTACTAAAGGAGATAATATGGTAAGCAGTGACGTCCTCCAAACTTAACTCCACTGTTTCTATTTTGACATAATTTCATTTTCAGACATCTTTCTGTATCACTCTATCCACAGGTTTTTTTTAATGAAAAGATGATTTATAATGAATTATCTCACCAGCTATTCCCTAATTCAGAATGTAATACTATTACCTTAATAAAGCTATAATGTAGCCTTTATCATGCTACTGATATGACATCCAAGACAGCCAGGGGTAATGATATCTTGTGAATGGTAAGCAGAGTCTCCTGAGAAATGCCTGAATCTGTGGAATAATTAAAGCGTGAGAAGGTGCCTACTCAAGACACCTTTCCACTAGTATCTCGATTTGTCAGTGACTGGTCTAGTGCTGCGTGCCAGAAACACTCTATGCTAAAATCTGTGATTTAAAGGTTCTTTTAGACAAATGTGCCACCTGGAATAAAGATTATTGTTTCTATAAACATTAGAGAAGTGCTTCAGGGATTGATGGTCAAACAACAAGAACAACAACAATTAAATATAACAATGAACACGGAGCCACGCAGTTTCCTTTCATATTGAAGGAGGATGGTTTGAAAAATATATACATATACAATGTAGTTTTTATGTACAAAAACTATTATACAAGCCTCACTGAAGACAATTTAACTTTTATTCTGGTTACAAGTTGGATTTTAAAAATTGCTTTTTCTGTATTGCATGCAGCTTATGCCTTGAATGCATAGTCACACTGAGCATGGTCACGTATTTGCCACATACTGCTGATTATATTTTAACAAAGACATAGACACTGTTTGTCCACCTACTGTATGTCTGGTTATTCATTATTTGACTCTCTGACAAGTAGAAACTCTTCTTGTCAGAGAGTAAATAGACAGAGCAATAAGCATCACTGAAACAATGTAATAGTATACTGAAAACTGGGTTGGTATGCTTCACTATAAATATAATTACATAACTTCTAAATGAGGTACTGGCATACCTTGTGTGTCCAGGGACTTCCAAATGCACTTGCACACCTGCAGTAGTGGAGTCCCTTTATATGACACTTAACTACTAGATTAACTACAGTACAGGTGTGATATTAAAACGCGTTTCTAACTCTGCATTACAAGAAAATAAAATCCTAAATATAATAACACTAGTGAAATAAAAAAAAACATCATATTTGCTTTTGAAGAAAGCACAATGTTTTGAGCAGTTCAAGAAAAGAAATGCTGCTGAGTGTTCAGACCTCTTTATAGACCCTATTATCCTGAGCTTGGTGTTTCCATTGTGACAAGTTCTTATTTTACTCACAGTTATTACTCTCTGCTCAATAAAGTTTACACCTGTTGCACTTAGACCTTGTAGCTGAAGTCTTTACTCATCCAGGATCTCGCAAATGAAATGCTAGCATTGCAGCAATATAATAAAATGTAAAGCTAAATACAAGACGATTCAATTAGTGAAGATTCTGTTTTCCAAAGAGGCTATTTGCTCATACTGCCAATTTATTTAGTTTTGCCACAGCATATTTATGTTCCACGATGAAAGCATATAGATTGTTAAAGAATGTGCCAGATCAGCAGATAAATTTATTTGCAAATTAAAAATAATAACAAAAAGTACCAATCATTCTTATTATTTCAAGAAACATAGGATGAAAAAAAAACATTTGTGTTATTAATTTTAGAAATCATATTATCTATGTTGACAGTAGTGAACATATAGTATTAGAAAATAATTATATTCTTACAGTATATTCATGCTTGATTGGAGTTGCAATTTAGTAATGCATTGAAAAATGCATTGTATATGATCTCAGTGTCTTATATGCAGTGGCTTTTCAATATTATATATAATATAATTTTAAGTTATTTTTTAATCTTGAGATATTTCATGCTATAGAAGTATCCCTGCTATAGAAATATGCATTCATTAAATTGTGCACTGTCAATTTCCTTACAGTGGTTGTCAGTGGCAGTTGATTCAAAAGGGTGCCAGTGCAGTAGAATCAATATATCTTTATATACTGTATATCAAAAATGTGTTATACAGTATTCATTACAGAGCTTAAGCTTATTAATACATTTTATCAGGTTCTTATACTGTTATTATTAAACCTGTACTTTGTTCATAGATTAATTAACATCTCTCATTAAATAAGAGATCATGTTTGTTGACTATCAAAGATTAGAGACATTTTTTACATACATTGAACACACTACAATAATATACCATGTTTCTGAAGTGAAAAAAAATGTAATATTAGTTAAATTGGGAAACATGCGCAACACACTACACTTCTTAAGTTTGAGTATTTGCAGATATGGTTTCTAAAAGAAATGTATAATGTAAACTTTATAACAGTTCAATTTGTAGCATGCATTTTATAGATAACTTGCATTGGATGCTAAAACAGTTCTTGCCCAAATCATTGATGTGAGAGAGGCTAAATTTGCTGTTCAGATAATCTAAGACACTGTCTACTGCTAATCCAAAAGCTGTTACTTCATAAATGAGAGATTATTGGATAAAGATTGGTGGCACATGGGAATACATTACTTTCATGGCAGAGTTTGTTTTTGTTAAAGATGTAAATTGCACATTTCCCTTTTGGTTGCCAGGCAATATTGCTTACCCTTTAATAAGCAAATTATTCATGGTTAATTACTATTGTTATTCTAAAATGATCAACTGAGGCTGGGTGAATGTTGCAGTAGCCAACAGTCAAACAGCACACTGCAGAACCTTTGCTCTTTTCTAAATAATGTTCAGAATTGTACGATCTGATTATCAGGTCTTTCTGTGCTTTCTGTGTAGTAGCTATAGCTTGGGGAGTTAATCCTAAACCTTTGAACTGCGTACTATTAAAACTTTGAACTAGTTCCCACTTCCTCCAAGTAATAATTTATTTTTGTTCTCTTCTTGGACATGTTTGGTCTTCTCGGAGCAATCTGATCAGTGCAGTGCTGATTTTATTCTGTGTTTATAGTCTATTTTAGCCTCTTTTGTTATGCTGTGATATCTCTTTAACCCATTGGTTTATTTTAATGTCCTGTCTTCTTACTTTGAGACTGTACAGTGTGAAGACAAAGAAAGTACAACTGCTTAAGGCATCAAATCCTAACAGAAGATAACACTTCATTTGACAAATAAGACACAGGAATTCACTTTTTATTATTTAAAAAATCAGCCAGTATTTAATATCTTTGTTTGAAAAAGTAAGTGCAGGCCCTTGATTCAGGAACTTGTGGCTCCCACTTTTCTTGTAAGAGTTGATTAGTCTTTCACATCGCCTTAGAGGAATTCTGGTTTACTGTTCATTACAGAACTACTTCAACTCTATGATGTTTGAGGGCTTTCATACTGTATATGCAAAGCTTTGTTTAGGTCCCGCCACACCATCTGTGGGATTTAAATTTGGACCACTCAAAATCCTAAATGTCTTCTTTTTTGCTCAAACTGTCATAGATTAGCTTGTGTGTTTTGGATCATTCTCCTATATGATCCACTTTTGGTTCAGCTTTAGCTGTTGGACAGATGTTCTCACATTTTCCTCTAGAATACTGTGGTATAATGTGGAATTCATAGTAGACTCAATGATAGTAAGGCGTCTACTGTAGATACTGAGGCAGCAAAGCATACCCAAACCATCACACCTCTCCCAGAACACCATACATGATGGTTGATATGAGGTTTTTCAGGTCAGAGGTTTTTTGGGGGGTTTTCATCAAATATGATGTTTTCATCAACTAGGATATTTTCTGATAAGGCTAAACAATTCCACTTTTGACCCATCTGTACAGAGCACATTGTTGCAGAAGTCTTGTTTTGCAATTGACAGCTGTGCAGCATTGCTC